ACCCTCAATTTTATCCTCCAGGGGGAAAAAAGATTGCAATTATCACTGCTATGAGAAAACAAATAATAAAACAACTGATGTAGTGACTGTTCTGTAGAAATGGGATGTACTGTCAACTGGGAATGCCTTGATGGAATACTGTGGGCCAAAATGATGCCGTCTCTCGGTTGAAACGACTGACCTGGGGATCTTTTTGTTAGCTGATATAGAAAGACACTGCAGCAAGAGGCAGAGTCATATGCAGCCTCAGAAATGTGTATGTCTGACTTGGAACAATACAAATTATCCTATAAATGTAAAACTCCAACAGACTAGAGAAATTGAATTTTTATACACAATTAAATTGGAAGTAAATAAAAATGTGAAGTATGGAAAATCATTCTAATGGGTGAAAAGGGCAAAGTTCGATTAGAACAGGGGACTGAGTTCTGTGTCCCTTTTCTAGCTGAGACAACCATAACTTGGAAGAAAGTTTTAAAGTACATTTTGAAAGAAATTATATCTATAAGTTCAGAAATGGCATCCCTAAAAGCTATGAAAACTCACTTCAGATTTTAAACAGCAGGCAGGAGAAATGAGGTTCAAAATGGGTTGACCATTTAGGAATCTATGAATGTACTTATGGAACTTATAACACATTGATTCTTTCAAAATGTACCTTAAAACTCTTTAACGACTTCATAGGCAGAGTAGAATTCAATGTAAGCAACTGCAAAGTGATGCATGTTGAAGCAAAAATAAATAACTATATCAATCAACTAATATTTAAGTGATTCCAAAATCTGTTTTTCCCCCAATAAATGCTTCACAGCTGATTTGAAGATTCGTTTAGACCGTTGTCTTGTTACCCAAGACATCATATCCAAGAAGATTTAAGAACATTCCTGAGTTAGAAAAGTTCTGCAAAGAAGAAGGGTGGGCAGGGGGAATCCAAAAACAAGAATCTAAAGATTCATTCAGCGATCTGGGATTTCTGCAAACATCTTACAAAACAAAACTTTAAAGACAGCATCCATAAAAACTAATATATTTCTTCCAAAATCCTGTAACTTGTTTATATATTCCAATGTAACACAGTCTCTGTAGTCTCCAAGTATATTTTTGGCTGTCAATTTCACTGTGTTTCTTGCCTGATTGTGTCTCTTTTATGTCTCCTCTAAACAACACAAAAAAGAAACACCTTGTCATGCCTCTGTCGGAGTCAAGACGAACAGCTGACAAGGAGTGCGAGTGTGGCTCCATTGGCTGTGGAGGAAACTGGGGAAGGGCAAAGTCCGGCTGGGCAGAGCAGAGAAAAGGCAGAACAAGGGAGAGGGAGTTCAGAGGAAGACCGAGGCCCGCCCTCTCTTAATCCTAGGGCACGCAGGAAGGAATAGAGAAGAGAGCAACATGGGTTGCGTGGCTTACAGGGGAGGAAAGGGCCCTGATTCCCTTCATTAGTCACAGCTGGAAAGAGAGTTTAAAAGAGATGCATGCTGAGTGCGGCAGCTTCTGGGAACAAATGTGAGTTTATCTTGTGTTGACTTTGGTTATCTGTGTTCCTAGCATCCTCCCAACCGTGTTGAGATATTGCAGTGCCTTCATGTCTGGAATTCTTGCTTGTGCCCTGCCAAACTAATTACCTCATTTTGCCTTGATTGGACTTATAGTTACAGTTTTTGTTGACCACATTTTGGACTTGATTCTCCGCAGCTAAAGCCTGTTCCTGGGAGAGTTTTTCTCTAGCCAGAAGGTAACAAGGACACCTGGGGCAAAGTTGGAGCTAATAAAGGGACTCCTACTGATTATCTGACTGTGTTGCCTTTGTGCCACGCCCCCGTTCATCACACAGCTATTTATATAGATCAACATCAAGATCCAAAGAATACTGGCAAGACAGTAAATACAAGATCATCACTCTAGACTATATAGTCAAATAAAATCCATATGAAGAAAAAGTACAGTAAATATGTCAGATTTTCTCTTGACAAAATAATGTTACCTGCTTATCTTTAATTTTCTCTCCCACTGTGTATAAACCAACCTAAGTAGAGTGTATGTTCTGGACTTGACAAAACACAGATTTCTACGAATCCTAACTGACTGAATAAAATATCAAGTAGCAATTTAAGCGTTTAGAAAGCAGTCAATCAAAAAATTAACCCTGAATGACTGACTGTAAAGACCTATGACATAGCTGCTGTTGAATCAACTGAAAATAAAAAATGTCTTAAAAAATTCCTTGTGTGTCTATTACACTTGGCCAATAAACCTATTCTATTTTATTCTATTCTGTTCTGTTCTATTCTCTATTCTATTCTATTCAGTTCCTATTCCTATTCCTCTGCTGTGCTCTGCTCTATTCCAATGATATTGAAATATTGTTAAATAGACACTTGCCAACAATCCTATCTAACTTTGAAACAAGAATCTTGGCCTGGTACGCAAGAATTAATATGGAAAGTTGTTAAAGTCAACAAGTCAAATTTTGCCAGAAGCTTTGGAGATTATTTAAAGCATAATGGCTTGATTGGAGAAAAGACAGTAACTACATTCACTAATTTATTAGTGAATAGAAATCCCTTATGAACTTTTTGCTAAGAAAAAAAATGAAATTGTGATTTATGGGTTTGATTAGAAAGGATAGACTATGGAAAGGAGGAAATTATGCAGTAACATTAGAGAAAGAGGGTGAAATATAAACCTACTTGTGACAGCTGTTAAGAAGACCAGAAGTTGCTTCCTTCCTTTTCTTTATTTTTTTTTATTTTTTTCTCTTACTTATTACTTTTTCTTATTTTCCTTACACTGCTTTTCTTTTCAAATTTTGTTTTTATTCATTTAAAAAAATTCTTTAATTACAAATTATATACCAAAATGTAATGTACACAACATGCAAAAAGGCCAAAAGATCACAATCAAAAAAGCATGTAAATTTGTATCAAAATAATCCAAGGAAATAGTTTTGGGTATAAGGATTTTGCAATTAATATCACCAGTAACAGGTGAACAGTTGAATGAAAAAAAGAAAGAATAAAGTCAGTATTAAGACTGTTTAGTATAGTGATTAAGACAATGGCATACAAACCAGGAAACTGTGAATTCCAGGCCTGCCTTAGGCTGGCTAGATGGTTTTGGCCAGTCATTTTCTCTCATGGCAGAATACAGGGTGATGTCAGGTCCTCCTAGTTCCTGCCATCAAAGGCTGGAGGAGGACCTGACAGCAATGACAGTTTATTTAAAAAAACCTACTTATAAAACAAGTTCCACCAGAAGTTATTAAGAAGCATTTATGTTTAAAACAAGAAACTAGTCAGTTGTCAGGTTTAGTTCAAGAATACAACGATTAGTTCGTACATGCATTCTAAAAAATTTACCTCAAAATATTGAAACTCAAATACAATGGAATATATACACATATACACACAATTTTTGTTACATAATTATAAAGAAATAGTGGAATTATAGTGTGTCATAAATGGTAACAAATATATGTTCAATGTACTTTCCTTTTAAAAGCAAAATTATATTTAATGTTGATCACACACACACACACATAATTTATCTCACACTATAATTCCACTATTTCTTCAAAATTGTGTAACAAAAATAGTCCTTGAATTACAACAGTCATTTAATGATTTTCTGCAGTTACAACAGCCTCAAAAAAGGCCTTATGGCTCATAAAGCATTGGAGACTGTAAAATGTCACGGTCGCATGATTATATTTCAGGCACTTTTGCATTTATGACCAGCTGCAATGTCTCGTGGTCATACATCCATAGTTTGCATTTTTGTCAGTTTCTAGCAAAAAGAAGCCCACTCAGGTTAAGTAAATGGATTCGCTTATCAACCATGCAATTCAGTTTACAATTTAGATGAAAATGATCAAAAAAATTCATTCCTGGGGGTGCCTCAACTTATGACTGTGATAATTTACAACTAAAATTCAGCTCTCAATTATTTTTGTTTTACAGTGACTAAATTTTTAATATTTCTAAAAAATTACTATTTAAAGCTTAATATTAATTATTTAGAAGTATCTAGTGTTCTTTAGCATCAATATTGAGTGGTGATTACTATTTCTTTAAATTGCAATTTCTCATATAATTTTTGCTATTAATTTCTGTGCCAAGAATATGTTTCATTGTGTTTTTATGGTAGCATCTATTGACTTTTATCAACATAATTTGTATCCCATTTTTTGGTACAAACGTAACTTAATTGGCCCAGAAATGCTTTAGTTTGTAAACTATGTAACTAAGACAGACTTAAAATAATAGAGTTTTGCACATAATTTCTTCCTCTTTTATTTTTCCTGGTATTTTATTATCCAATATCCAGAGTTCTTTGAAGTTAGGCATTTGTAAACCTTGTAACTAAATAGAAAACCCCATCTTAAGTGAAAGAGTTATTGGGCCCCATGATCATGAAGAGCTGCCTCCTGGACAGAAAGCAATTACTTCAGTTTTTGAGGATTCAATAGGTAAAACTGAGTTATATTTTCAGAATATAACTAAGAAATTTTTTTGCTAAGAAAAAAAATGAAATTGTGATTTATGGGTTTGATTAGAAAGGATAGGCTATGGAAAGGAGGAAATGTCTCCTGCAAAACACAAGATTTGCAGATAAATATCTATCAGCTCTTCTAAGAATGACTAGCTCCTACAAGTTCTTGTTGTTTTTGCTCCAGGACTTCTTCCTCACAACAATTTAACTTATTACATGTGGATTGTGCCTGTAGCTTGGTTATAAATTTCTTGGTCTGCTGCCCAATTCATGTCTTAACAATATTGGAAAGCTTCTAACACTCTTGTCCAAAAGATAGCAACGGAGAACTGAAATTCTCATTTTTCCAGCATTTACTTGAAGCAACAGAAAGCAGAATTCCAGCATATTCAGTAGCATCCTATTTTAAAAAGTGACTAATTCTAGATATATGTGAACATATAAAGAATTCTACCCTATTTTTCATGTTATTTGTTTTGTCCCACACAAAAAGAACGAATTGTTACACCTACCTGCACAGCCAAAAGCAAGATGGTACCGGGATGAGGGGCTGAATTTTACACAACACACATTTGCCTTGGCCTCAATACTTGCTACTGAATTGTCCAGGTTGGTTGACCACAACTTCACTAAGGAAAAATAAAAGAAACACAAGCAAAATGGGGTAGATTAAGCTGTAATTGCTGTTCTGTGATTTTCACATGAAATTTTTTTTCCTTTTATTATTTCATTGCTAAATAGAAATATAGCAATAGGAAGAAGCAATGTTTACATGTGGATCACATGCAATCTTCACAATAGATTAATGAGAATTCCAAATGCTCCGCAAGACCTCTTACCAGAAACAAAAAAAAACATGACATGATGACAACACCAACCAGCCCCCCTGCAATCCAGACAGGGCAGAAAGATAGCACTCAAACACAAGAGATTCTAAACTATCTTGGGACATAATGCAATAAACCAGGGGTCGCCAACCTTCAACCTTTTGGACCTCAGGGACCACCAAACTCATAATTTTAGATCCCAGGGACCACTAACTGGTTCTGTGGGTGTGGCCTAATTTGTGGGTGTGGCTTGGTGGTCATGTGACTGGCTGGGCCTGGCTTGTATGTAAATATTATAAATATTTATATAAATATTGATTTTTTAATAAAAAAAGAGCAACTTTTACCCAAAATCAGGCAAAGCAGGCAGATTGAGTTGCTCACAGAATCATTCAATGATCTATCTGCCATCGGCTAGCTCAGTCTCTCAAATTTTCTTGCTGTGAGTCTGCACTGAATTTGCTTGCAAGCAAACCTTCAGTCCTAAGGTTCTGCTGTACTTAAAAGCAGAGCCGAAGATTGAAAGACTAGCTAGAAAGCAAGAAAGCCAACCATTTCCTGCTTCCTAGCTAATCTAAATCTCCCAGCACAGCAGAACAGATGATAATCGGAAAGAGGAAAAATAGAAATTTAGCAGGCAAGTTTACTGGGTAAGGAGTGAGTGGGCGGGGAGGGTTCCTGCAGGCCATGTGGGCAGCGCGGCCTTGTGTTTCTGCGCAGCCTGGATTAATTGTTTTGGGGGGGTGCTCTGGGGGTGAGATTTCTCTGCGGCCCACCAAAATTTTCTCATAGCCCACCAGTGGGCCACGGCCCACAGGTTGACGACCACTGCAATAAACCAACATGTGGCCTTAATATAAAACCAAGGGATAAGAGACTTATTTTAATTTCTGCTGAATTTTTTAATAGTTTTGAGTTTTATTCTTCTAGAAAATATTACACACTAGCAACATTTTTTGAATTAAGTCATTTTCTTTCAAACTTCAAACTTTTTTAGTTTAATGTCTACTGGTAACTTATAATCTTATATCACCTTTCCTATTAACTGATCTAAACTGATTAAAAAAAAGAAAATAGACAGTTTGAAATTGTTTCCCAAACTCTTTTCAATCACAGTTCCAAAAGCAATCAGATATTTTTTTTACAATATGTTAGACATCAAGTTCTTTTCCTGCACAAATCAATAGTCAGAACCCTTTTATATAAAAACAGAGTCTATTCATCTTTTAATTACTATTTATAAAATGGTTGTTCAATTATAGTACCAACTATTTTGCCCAGTGCTTAAATTTCAAATTTCGAAAACATGGGATGATGCTATGGTTACTGTTTAAGTAGAGACCTGAACATTCACAAAATGGCTGCTATGGTGCCATAACTAGTCATAAAATAGAAATAATGGAACTGGGGATGTAAAAGTAAGTTAAAGGGATACTTCGTTGTGACTACAATTTCAGACAGAGAGCTTAAAGATATATTTGGGGGGGAAATTACACTGAACCCATTTCCTCTGCAGTTTAAACTTTCAAAAGTCATAATGATGACTGGTATATTTAATTTTGTTTTAGTACCAATTTTACATTAGGCTATGATTAAGGAAGTCACTGGGACTAAAGAAGACAAGAATGTGACCTGAAAGTATGTAAATGTAACTTATTATGTGATGAATCCTACACACCTATTTCAGTTATCAATAGGTTTCACATATGATATTTGTGCTTAGAAAGCCAGTGTTGTATAGTTGTTAAGGTGCCAGATCAGGAGTAGAGCAACTCGGGTTCCAATCCTTCTGTAGACACAGGAACTAGTTGGGTGACTGGAGGTCAGTGACTTCTTCTCAGCCTAAATCAGCATCAGGATTTTCAATAAACTAACTAATAAACAAAAACCTCTATCGAATTGAAAGCCACTGTGAAGTAGTAGCTAAGGTGCTAAAATAGGAGTTGTAAAATCCAAGTTTTCCCTTATGTCTAGAAATCAGATAGGTGACCTTGTCACTCTCTTTCAGAATCAGGCTCTGCAACAAGCCAGCTGATAAATGAAACTCCTCCTCACTAAATGGTAATAGTTTGCTTTAAGTGCTAGATACAAACGGTAAAAAATAAAACAAGTGGACACTGCACCTATTAATTCAGTGTGGCATAGTGATTGGGGGGGGGGGGGGAGCAATACCTTTTGCATCATCAGAACCTGAAGCCAAGAGTTTAGGATCCATCAAATTAAAGTCCACACTCCAGCATCTTTTCTCATGCTCCTGTATTGTCATGGGGGAATAGAAATAAAATGATAGAAAATTACTTCTTCAATATAATCAAGATAATGAAGAAAATACATAGAACTTTGGTTAAATTATTATTATTAAATTATTATTGATAAAACTTTACTATTTTTCTTCTACCCAATATAATTGATTGTATTGTTTGATAGCAGCCTCAACAAGGACACCAAGAGAGCTATCTGGATGCCTAGTTAATTTTTTAAAAAATTACATTTTGAAGAGCTTGCATTACTCTTACAATGGTACAGTTTCAACTTGCTAGTAATCCCTTATGGAATTTTTGAAGACGCAATCGCTAAATTTCTCCTCTAAAAACAAATTAGCCACTTAGTAGGATGCACAAGCAGTATGTTCCTCTATAGACTCAGTTCTCAGAAGAATATTATTTAATTAGCACATCCGTTTCAGCAACTCTAGCCTCCTTAAACATGATTCCACATATGCTGGAGTTTCTAATTTAGGATTGGACATTTTAAAGTCAGGTTTTTGAGAAAACAAGAGTCTGAATGTTGTCTGCAAGCTAGAATTCTGAGAAGCAAGCCTATTGGCTTGAACAAGGTCTTTTACTCCTATATAACAATATAAGAGATCATTTATTGAAAGCATGTAGTGATTTAGAAGCTTTATTTGTGAATGCAAAAAAATCATGACTCATTAGATTTCTTTTTAACAAGAATTTAATAAGAATTTTTCAACAAGAATGTTAACAAGTTTTCATTTTATCCATGATGAAACAGCTTAAAAGGATATCAACTGAAAGCAACATACCACCGGACAGATTTATCACATTTAAATAAATATCAATGGTCCTGGCATAACTCCAAACCGTAAAGTAAATGATTAATAACTCTCATCTTCAATGGGTTGTGGTGGCGCAGTGGTTAGAATGCCAGCAGTTTGGCAGTTCAATTCTCTCTGGCTCAAGGTTGATTCAGCCTTCCAACCTTTTGAAGTGAATAAAATGAGGACCCAGATTGTTGGGGGCAATATGCTGACTCTATAGACTGCTTAGAGAGGGATGTAAAGTGGTATATAAGTCTAAGTGCTATTGCTATTGCTATAACAGAAGAGCCAAGTCTTTTGGCTTAAGAAATGAAACGGGGAGGCAGCAACTGTGATTCTTCATATTTTAGGGCCACATTATTGGGGCAAATACCATACATGTTGCACAAAGTCACAGTACACTTTGCAACACACTTCTGCAAGTACATATATAATACTATTTCTTTACCTGATAGACTTTGGAACGTTGCCCTGTGAATCCATCCCATAAGATCACTGTTCCTTCATAGTCGCTGCTGGCCAAAAGGTTTTTGTGGTAACTACTCCAGCTGATACAGCTGAAAAAGAGAGGTAATACAAATGCTAAAATGTTTTATTCTACAACTATGAACATTGTAAATTAGACAATGTAATAATTCAGACTACTTTATGCATCATCTGCAAATTTGTTTTCATACTCCTGATTAATATTATATTATTATGCATCACCTGCAGATGTGCTGGTTTCATTATTATTTAGGTCAAAATTCCATCTAAATTCAAAGCTAAAATTATTGGTGTCACTAGACTTTATTATATCAAGAAACATATATTTAAGAAGTTTAAGTTGAAAGTATTCTTTCTTTGTTAGCTGTTACAAGAGAGAGCCTTATCCAACAGACTGGAAGAGGTCATCTGCATTCCAATACCAAAAAAAGGAGACTTAACAAACTATTATATAATATTCTTAATTTCACTTATTAGGAAAATAATGCTTAGAATCATCTAATGTGGATTACAACCCTACAGGGAAAAGAAGATGCCAGATGTTCAAATTGGCTTAGGAAAAGACAAAGAATATTATGCTGATGCATGCTAAATAACTGAAAATGAAAAAAATACCAAAAAGAAATCAGTATGTACTCTATTGATTATTAAAAGGCCTGACTGTGTCCATCATATCAAGATGTGTAATGTGTTCAAAAAATAGGAATCCTAACATCTCATTGTCTTCATGAGAAACTTATATATAGGTCAGGAAAGCACAGTAGGGACAGAACATGGTAAAACAGACTTGTTCCAGGTTGGCAAAGGTATGTTAGAAATTTGCCTAGTCTTCTTTTATTTATTCAACAAAAATGCTGAATACACATATTAAGGGAGGCTTGACTGGAAGAACAACATTGCTTTAAAACTGGGGGAAGAAACATCAGTAACCTATGCTATACTGATGATATTACCTTGAAGTGTAAATATATTTGAAATGTATGCCACATTTGTCATTATATTTCAATCAACCATTGAATTCAATATAAATTCCTGTTTTAGATATCAACAGAACAAATTTAATGGCCCAATAACATTTTTTATTCTGCACTAAAGGACAAAGACTTTGAATAGTCATTAGGTTTACAGAATGTAGAGCATGGCATCTTAAGTCTTAAATAGTTTAAAGCACAGAAACCCATGTTGGTGCAAAACCTTTTCATTAGTACCTTCCAAATCTATTTTCCCATCCTATACTATTTCAACATGTCCTACTCTATAAGGCATGGTACCAAGAATAATTTGTTCTCAGCTGAACCTATGTGTTATTTTATCTGCATTGCTATTTCACTCACTCCAGATCACTGCAGGAGGGGTTTTAAAACTAAATGTTCCTATAATAAAATGTGCCATTATTTCCTTGAAAGTACAGTATGTAATACACATATATTTATGACTGTGTTCCCTTTCAAGATAAGCAACTATCTTGAGTAGAGCATAGCAAAGAAGAAACAGGCAACAAGCCAACAAAATTAAAGGCATGAGATAAAAAAGTAAATGTACTTTACACCAATAAAAGTCACTATACTTCTGGTTTTCTTAATTCTTGAAATCAGTATTTGCTTCTACCATATACATATAGTTTCCAATGACTTGCTAAAGGGCAAAAACCTGATCTACATACTTCCAGACTAGCATAAAACTCTAAGCTATTTTGGATCACCTCTATGTTTGTTATCTATAGGCAGTTCTCAACTTATGACTGGTCATTTGACAATCCTTTGAAATTTCTCCCAAAAAATCAATGAGGAAGGGAAGTTTGCAAGTGACTGCCACCTGTGGAGTGGGCTCTCTCCTAACTTTGGGGGCTGGCTGACAGAGCTGCTGGATTGCAGAAACAGGGCTCACAGATGCATTCTCTTCTGTGCATGGAAGAAACACTGAGAAGCTAGTGAACACCATTATTCTGAAGGCTGGAAAGATTTGTCTCCTTCAGAATTATCACAGTTGCTAGCTTTCTAGCCTTCCTCAGCTAGCAAATGCAATTATTCCTAGGATCGTTTGAAAGGCCTTGACAATTTGGAGAAAGAGCCTTCCAAGTATCACAATAGGAGGGCCCGCTTGCAGGATGGCATGAGACAATCTTGGTAGGAAGATTGTGCCATACATCAGCTGGGTGGAGCTGCAGCTATATAAAAAGGCATAAGTAAGTAGACCCAGGAGTACCCTCTCCTCAATGCTTTGCTTAAGGACCTGTGCAATCATTTAATGACCGCAACTTCGAGAGCTGGAGTTGTGGTTGTGGAGTGAAGTGATCGTGTGGTCCTGTGGGTTTAATGACCGCACTGCTTAATGACTGAGATTCCAACCTCTTGTGATTGTAAGTCTAAGACTACCTATAAAGGAAGGAATCTAATCGTATAGAAATGCTGAAATAAGAAAATATTTTTCTTTTTTAAGACCAACTGAAATTTTGAAAATGTTTAAATATTTTTAATGCTTTCAACAGCTATTTTTGTAAATTTGTTATTGTAGGAAAATAAACTGTATTATGCAAAATAATACATCATAATCATTTAAAGTAATACTTTTCTTCTAAGAATGGTTTATTTACATTCTTTTACACTTCTTCTGTGAACGCTTAGAATGTTTGCAAACATATCACAACACCTCAGCAATGTTTGGATAGCTTATAAATGCAAGGACTTTCACTCAACAAACACATAAATTAAGGTAAGTTTTTCTATAAAGCCCATCATGCTTCGGATAATAGCAATACCAGCAGTAGACACCGAGAGACAAGAGACTCTCTTTTGGTCTCTCTTTCCCCATAAGTACGATGTGAAGTTATGTTCACACTATTCACAAAGGAAACATTTTTCTCCATGCTACAATGATTCTACCTCAACTGAATGAACTCTAGACACTATCCAAGAAAATAAGAATTCTAAATAAAATATAATTATGTAAGAAACAGGTACAGAAGACTCTGCCCCAGCGTCTACTGGAAAAGCTAGATGTTTGTGCTCCTTAAGGCCAGCATGGTTGGTGCCATACATACTTCCAGGAGGCAGAGGCAATCATAAAGGATTCCACAGGATAGGGGCAATCACAAAGCAAGAATGTATGGGGTATTCCCCAAAATGATACTATTTCATAGATGGAATCCACACCATGGTGATCCTGCTACATCTTAACAGATAGACAAAAGCCAGAGAAATGCCGTAGACATCAAAACCCCAAGCCTTGAAAGGTTCTATAAGTGGCTAACCGGCACCTTTAATTGCACATGGAAGCCAAATGGAAACCAATGCAGCCTGTGAAGGAGAGTTGCCACATTGGCAAACCAAAGTATACCTAGAACTACTCATGCTGCTGCTCCATTCTAATTGGCCTTCAGCAATAGCCTCGTGTAGAGGGCATTGCAGAAATCCAAGCAAGAGATGACTAAGACCTTACTGACCACGAGAAGAACCTCCCAATTCATGAAAAGACATAACTAGCATACAAGACGCATTTATGGTGAGGTTCTTCTTGTTACACTTGTTCTTCAAACCAGAGCCAAGAAGTATAATGGTATGTATGACAGATGCTAAGCGACTGGGCAAAGAAACATTGCCAAGGTAACAGTCAGATAGGAATTAGCCCATAGCTGGATAGGCTCAGAAGAGACCCTCTCTAATTTCTCAGACCATACAGGGAAGTGGGGGAAGGCGGGATTTGTACTTTCAGACTTGCAAGATTGATCTCAGCTCCCACAGGGTAAACCAGAAAGGAATCACAATTACAAAAGCTAATTCTACTTTATTGCAAATTACACTGACAGAATCCTACAACTCTGAAAGTATAGGTAGTCCTCGACTTACAACTGTCCATGTAGTGATTGTTTGGAGTCTCAACAGAACTGAAAAAAAATGACATTACCATTTTTCATATTTATGACCGGTGCAACATCTCCATGGTCATGTGATCAAAATTCAGATGCTTGGCAAATGACTTGTATTTATGATGGCTGCAGTGTCCTGGGACCATGTGATCACACCTTTTGCGACTTTCTGACAAGCAAAATCCATGGGGAAGCCAGATTCACTTCGCAACCATGCTACTAACTTAATAACTGCAGTGATTCACTTAACAACTGTGTTAAGAAAGGTCATAAAATGAGGGAAAACTCACTTAAGAAATTCTCACTTAGCAACAGAAATTTTGAGCTTGATTATGGTCATGTCAAGAACTACCTATATGTATATATGTATATGCGTTTGTGTGTGCATGTGTGTTCTAAACCTCTTGCTAGGCTGCCTCTTTTCTGACTGTTTCTTTGACAGTGTCTCTGCCCAGTCCCCCCATATTTTTCATACGTACCAATACAAAAAGGCAGGAGGTTCCACAAATTATGCACAATTTTGGTCACGAGTAGTACCACTTCATCCAGAATTAATGTTGGTAAATCACTGGCCATGGGAGATTCTTGTTTTCATAGCCATTCAATTCTGATTAAGCTGAGCATGTTCTATCCCATCTATGATTCAATATGTTCCAGGAATCAGGGCCATGGGTCAAGATAGTTGGGTGTCACCTAAGTATGGATGATAACTGATATTGCCTGGAAGGCTCATATAGCAGTTGTGCTAAGCCCTGAGCAATATTGAAAAACAAGGGCTTCAGTCTCAATTGATTCTCCCCACTCCCTAAACACCAAGTAGAACTAATCCCAGGGAAAAGAGAACCACTGGAAAACAACACATCCCAACTCTTAGAAGGATACCGTGACTGCTGATATTGAATACTAGCCTAACAGATGCAGTGTAACCCTAAAAAATGTTTTCTAGCTATTTTGCACCTACATAAAATAACCAAACAAAAAGATTAAAAAAAAACCAAATCACAGATGAAAAACTTTACTATTGATACCGAAATCTGGCTTTTTAAAATGAACTTAAGATAAATGAAACAAGGGATAATGGAACAGCAGGGAAGCAGGCCACCTGTACTTTGCACTCATTAAATATCCAATTAATGCCTCTTTAAACTTCTTCACACAACATAAATTTTAATTCTATTTTAATTTCAAAGTGACTTATCACATAATGTATTGAATTTTCTTCATTTTCTAAGTGTTCTATGTTAAAAATTAGAAGATATATTTTCCATACAGCATGCTGAGAAGCTTGTGTTATTAATGGAAAGATTAATGAATATGTTATACATTCCATCTGTTGAAATAATTTTGTTTATATAACATGTAATTGTCTACTCATGCTTGTAAATATGTCATGACAAAAACCCAACTTTAATAAAATAAACTACCCTTAGTAAATAAAATGTTAGGTTAAATAAATAAAACAGTCCTATCTCAGACCTTATAGGGAAAAGACTTCAAACTTTAACTTAGCAATACAGGTAGTCCTCGACTTACAACAGTTCATTCAAAGTTACAACGGCACTGAAAAAAGTGACTTATGATGAATTTTCACGCTTATGACCATTGCAGCATTCTCATGATAATGTGACCAAAATTCAGATGCTCAACCACTGGTTCATACTTATGACGATTGCTATGTCCCAGGATCATGTGTTTGCGACCCTCTGACAAGCAAAGTCAATGGGGAAGCCAAATTCACTTAACAACCATATTGCTAACTTAACAGCTGCAGTAATTCACTTAACAACTGAGGCAAGCAAAGAAATAAAATGGGACAAAACTCACTTAACAAATTTCTCACTTAGCAACCTAAATTTTGGACTCAATTGCCATCATAAGCTGAGGACTACCTGTATATAGGTCTAAGTGAAAATAATGAATCTTGCATTATACAAGAAGTCATTTATATACTGCCTTGGCATTTATTTTTGTTGCTTTTATTTTCATTTATATTATAAGGTAAATTACAGTAGTAGCAAAATACATCTATCCTTACTCGAATCCTAGTATCTAAGAATAAGTAATCATCAGCGCTGTCCTAAAGATAATTAACCAGATTTGGATTCTATCACAAATTGTTTATCAAAACATTTAAACAGTAAATTCTATCATCTTGTTAATGAATAATATTTCTGCAGAAACATTTAATGTTAAGTAGTTTTTTTAAAAAAAGAAGAGAATGGTCATTAAACAAATGGTTGTAAGTCAAGAACTATCTGCATTCAAATATGGAAGTACAGGATACAAGACACTATTCTTACTTTTTAAAATCAAAGAAGAGGAGCAACACATACCTGATTTTGGAATTACATGTCATTTCATTTTCTGGATAATGAATATCAACTGCATCCTGAATGACTGTGCCATATTCATAGACTTTAATCTTCTTTGTGACTCCCGCAATAGCAAAATAGTCACAGTCTCGATCAAATTCAATACTAAGAAACAAAAATACAAGCACAAAAGACACAAACTTATGAATATAATATATAAGTAGTTTTGTTATGGTAATGCAAATTATTTTTCAGGAGAACACCATCTCTGACTTTCAGGTTAAGATACCAAAATTTCTATCTCCTAAATTTGTAAAAGGCTACCTTCTCACTAAATTTTCTGTCTTGTTGATTTGTTCATTTCTACTGGGTAGAATAAAATTAACATGAAGGAAATTTAATCCAGAATAATAAAACAAGAAAAGGGAAATGAAAAGGAAAAATGTGTGGGGAAGTAAATATTATTACTGATTTTTTTAATGCAAAAATGGACTTGCTAAATTGTTCAGCATTGTATAAAACAATACACCGGAGCCAGGTTCTTCTCAAATTGCCACATTACCAACTATCCCAATGACAAGGAAGACAATTTACCCGTAAAACCTGAGAATAATACACATTTTTTGTATCTGAGTTAGTGTGTAACTGTGATGTACTTACTAAAATAAGTTGACTCTGTCTATTGCTGGCTATCCTTTCCTTTTCTCTATCAGGAACAGCATGGGAAATAAGGGATGTAATGTATTCATCCTAAAAATGTACTTGCAAAGAATGCACTAAAATAATTAAATGTAAGACAGAGAAATTTCTGAGTGATTTTAATGGAAGCAACTATTAATTATTAGATTTAGTGTTGTCTGACTCCACATTGATTTTGGGTGATTCATGGTACAACATAAAAAATATGCAATCCACACAGAAAACAGTAAACAAGATGGCAAATCTGACCAGCAATACAAAAACATATACCACACCCCAAAAGCGGCTTCAGCCAGCCTGTCCAGAGTTCATTTTGGAACAGGGTGCATGCAAAGGGCTGAAGAATGTGTCCCTAGCAGAGCAAATTATATTAAGAATACAATTGACAAAATGGCTTCAGATAACTGAAGCAAGAAAATGCTGTGGAAAAAATATTTTATAGATGTCTGTGAAAATGACAACAGTATGCTAAAGAATGGAATTAAAATAATTTCTATGAAACTTAGTGCCCAAGAAAACAATGACGAAGTCCCAAATATTATGAGAACATGGAACAATTGCACAGGATCTGTGATCCATTTAACCTGGATGTGAAGACTGTACTTCAGGGGTCTCAAACTCACATTGTCATGGCGGCCTCACATGATGTATTGGGATTTTTTCCCCTTCGCTAAACCGAGCATGGGCGTGATCAGCACATGACGCATCTGGCCCACAGGCTGGAAGTTTGACAGCCCTGCTGTACTTCCACTTGATGATTGGAAGAATGCTGGTATGGTTCCTATATATATCAGAGGTGGGGGAACTATGGTCCTGTTATGATTTGTGGACTTCAACTCCCAGAATCCCTGAGCCAGATGGTTCAGGAATTCTGGGAGTTGAAGTCCACAAGTCATAACAGGATCATAATTACCTACCCCTGCTTTATATGACGTTAAAAAAAATAGAAGAACCACAGGGGCTTATTTTGTTAAATTGGTCTGGGAATGAAGCAGAATTCTGACTAAAAGGGCATAACTGGTGATAAGGAGGAAAATCTGAAAAGGCAAGTGCTGGGTTACACTTATAATGAGTTTTGCAGAGCAAAACTTGCAGATCATTGAGAATGTGTTTGTTAGAAGGAAATTTTTATTGCACATTTCTCAATTTAGAGAAATGCATAGGTTTGAATTAAGAGAATGCTTTGGAAGGAATGTTGGTTGTGATATCACAATTCCTGTTCTCCATATAAGCCTGTATCAAAGCTTTTTGTATTTTTGTACTTGACTTACAACAGTTCATTTAGTGACCATTCAAAGTTACAATGGCACTGAAAAAAGTGACTTATGACCATTTTTCACACTTATGACCGTTGCAGCATCCCCACTGTCATGAGAGGCCAGGCGAGGAAAAGCACCCCTTGACATGAGTGATGTCGAGTTGGCCATGCCCACTCAGTCACATGACCACCAACTAAGCCACGCCCACAGAACCGGTTGTTAAAAAACTGAATCCCACCCCTGGATACAATGCTGATTTCTATTTTACTAAATATTATTCTATATTTATCTCCAAACTAATCTTTTTGGATACATTTTACTTTAATAACATAATTTGTTCCTGAAAGAGATATTTTGCTTCAGACTGATCAAATATACATAAGATTTCATTAGGAAATTGTCACACTTAAATAAACATAAAAGCAATTTGGGCTACTTTTATCTTGATATTTATTTTCTAGTACTTTTGGTGACACCTTTTCACATCTATCTGTCTTCAAATACTCAGAGATTACAAACTCTCTTTTCTATTAGCATATTAAAACCTCTATTTCCATCTGATATGGAATAAACTAATGACACTAAGCTACTGAACCCCTGTTGATCAACTAGCATCAACTGCCATGGATAGCACAATCATTTCCAAACTATGCAAATAATATGCCAAAAAGTCTATAGCAGTGGTTCCCAAACTTTTTCAGTCCACCGCCCCCTTGGTGCTACAAACTCATCCTCAATGCCCCCCACCAAGGGGAGGGATTCAAATTTCTGTGGGCATGGCCTAATTTGAGGGTGTGGTTTGCTGGTCACGTGACTGGGTGGGCAGGGTTTGCTGGTCACATGACTGGGTGGGCATGGCTTGCTGGTCACGTGACTGGGTGGGCGTGGTTTGGTGACTGGCAAACCAAGTGGTCCTCACTTAATAGCCAGTTGCTTAGCAAGTGTTCTAATTTATGACTGGCCTCCCCAGAACTACTTGACCTGCTTTTGGAGTTTTGACAGCCATGCGCGCGCACGCACACACTCCCTTCTAACCCTGCTGGAGCAGGTGATTGGACTACAATAGATATCTCATTATATTTCTCCTTGCTCCCTCCCTCTTTATTTCTTTTTCTTTCAGTCCCTTCCTTCCATCCCCCACTTTCTTTGTCTGTCCCATTTTCTTTCTGTCCCTTTTCTCTCTCTTTCTCTTCTCTTTCTGTCCCTTTTCTCTTTCTCTCTCTTTCTCTCTCGTCTCTCTTTCCCTCTCTCAGGCTCATCCCATTGACTTTGTGCACCGCTCTGTTCTGACTTGATTGGGCAGGTGCCTTCGGTGCAAGGGGCTCAATGGGGTGATCCTGCGAGGCCTCGCCCTGAACACGGCGGTGGCAGGATATTTGAAAAGGAGAACAAAGCCACTCTGGCTTTGCTGTCCTTTCCCAATGCTGCATTCGGGGGGAGGCCCCGCAGGCTTACCCCATTGAGCCCCTTGCACTGGAGCGTGTAAGTCAATGGGGCGATCCTGCGGGGCCTCGCCTTGAACGCGGCGGTGGCGGAATTTTTTCTCACCCCTGAATTGTGCCCTGCGAGGGGCCCACCTCCAGCATCTCCCTGCCACTTCTTAGAGCCCCCCCTGCCAGCCCCCTTCCCTCTTAGCACCTCCCTAAGGCATCCCACTGCCCCCCAAGGGGCGGTACTGCCCACTTTGGGAACCACTGGCCTATAGCATGTTAGAACACAAAGGTTAATGTCATATACTTTTTAATATGAATATATGTAACAGTAACATACAATTCATTTTATGATTATCATCACATGAATTAGAAGTATATAAAATATAGTTGGGCTGAATTCTTCTCAAGATCCACACACATACAAAATTTATTTGAACGAGCATAAAGCATTCAGATTCGTTTCATATTAGTTCACAGTTCTAGCATAGAATGTTTTCTTAAGGAAAAATCTGCAACTATAGAGCAAAAAAACTTGAGGATTTGCTATTTCTTTTCTGTTTTTAGATATACTGCATGCCTACAGCCTTGTTTGTTACAAAGATAAAAATAACTACATTTGTTAACTGAAGAGGTGTTTAATGTGTTTGTATGATATATCATCAACATTCACAATGACATCTCTAAAATATCAGGAGCTTAATAGTATTTATTAATACTAAACCTTAGAAAAAGTTCCACTGGTAATTCAAAAACTTCTACTGATTATTTTCCAAATTCAGAATAGGCACATTTCCATATTTAGAATATACAAATATGCCTAAAATTAAAACAGAACCTGAACAATATGGTTCTTGTCATATGATTCTTTGCCATGAACTTGCAGTAAGATTCCACAACCATTCAAAAGCTCAGACAAAATGGGGATACTAGTCCCTGGCCAAAAGGTTTCAGAGGGCTGAGAAATCCATAGAGAATGTCTTGGATCCCGGTGCAAGAAATGGGGAGAGCAGCTTGCAGTGATTTTGGCAAGAAATCAAAGATGCTCAACATGTAGGTAGTCTTCAATTTATGACTGATCATTTACTGAAAAGTCTTCAGTATTGCAATCCTTACTATTGTTGGAACCTGGTATATAGAATTATTTGGAGGATTGCCAAATTTTCTTTTTGTTTGCCATAAGAAAACACATTCTGGAAATGTTGGAAGATAAGATTTTCAATCTGTACCATTCATTTTTTTTTTGGTTTTCTTTTTCAGCCCCGTTTCTCTGTCACTTGATAGTACTGCGTTTGTTATTCTTGTATTTGACAGTAAAGCATCAGCATGATCCGGATCCTACACACGAGTAACAAACACACACAATCAATGTGGATCTTATTTAAGCAATTAAAAAAGCACCACTCATTTGTATAAGAAGGGAGAATAGTTTAAGTTTTAGTTAAATGAAAATATTCTCAGAAATGCTCAAACACAAAAAAAGAACATAATACTCTGACTGACCAAAATTCCAACAGCAATATTTCAATGCAGTATTTTTTGTAGCAGGCATGGCTACATATTCAAAATTCAGAATGAGCTGGAACATTCGGGATATTTTTCACATCCTTTTTGCTTACACAGTTGAGCCAGTTTTTTTTCTCTTCAAAATATAACGGAAAACTAAAGGTTCCCATATGGTAGAAGTCTGCATGTTTAATTCCCATTGGATAGCCTTAGGAACCTCATGCTGGTGACATAATATTCTACAGCAGGGGTGTCAAACTCGCATTGTCAC